GTGGCATCAATGTTTTCTGCCATCCGTGCAGCATTTAGCCCTGAAGAGCTGCGAAAGGCGGCGAAAGCTAGGCTGAAAAGACCCCCTGGCTTGAGCGCTTTTTACTTAAGTTACAGTACGTTGACCCGGCATCAACAAAGTTTCGTGATCCTTTGTTAGCCGGCACCTTCTTCTCGAAACATTCCCTTCTTTTTGGAGAGCGCTTATTTTTACATGCTCCTCCTGTTGTCTCCTCTGGAGAAAGTTTGCTTTGCAAGTCTGACTTGTCATGACAGGGTGTTAAGAACGGAACAGCCTTGGAACGTCCAGAAACTACATATATTTTTTTCACTTTGCCACAGTGAAGGCCTCCCAACATTAAAGATCCAAAATTGAAAGATGATTTGGCAAAGGAACGGCATACTAGCCATGTCCCACACAATGGCGCCTTTACAGAACCACCTTGAGAAGCAACGTACTGTCAATTCGTAGAACCCATGGAAAAACACGAGTTCTTCCTGAAAAACACGATGTTTTCAAACATCCTGATCAACAGCGTTTCCACCAAGTCAATTGGGAAGCTCACCGGAATGCACACGGGGCGCTCAAGCAGCCTTTTTTTCAATCTCTTATGTAACCCTCCTCACGGTAGTGCTTGAAACATGCCATGAGTGTCCTTTGCAGCACCCTCTTCACCACCTGTGACGGATGCGTCCGTCTGGACAAGCGGCTGCAGCGACCAACCCAATCCTCATGGATCTGGACAGAGTGGTTCAACGGTGAAAGAACGGGTTTGCAATGAGCTGGCCAAGCATGTCCCAAAATATGTGGTCCATTGAATGTACTTTTGGAATCAGATTGAACATGTTGACCTTCTGCAAATGGCATGTGAGCGCCAAATCGCGATAACAGTCCAAAAAGGAGATGCCGTGCCGCCGTGCCCAGCGATTTCAAAGGCCTCCGGCCGTCCAATCCAGACATCTCTGGAGTATAGCATCCCAAGGCAGGTGCTAATGTGAAAGTTTGCTTTTCTGCACTTCACCAACAACTCGCTGCCGGAGATGTCTACCCTGTTGCAAAGCCATTCAAAGAAATCACTCAGGGTCCGCGTTGTGTGCCCCTTTGACCAAATCCCGTTTGGGTAGCTGGACTTGTCCGGCCAGCCGAGACTCCCACGAGTAGGTTGCGACACGTATGGCGTCACGTGACTTTCTGCAGTGTATTCATGGAACATTTCTAACAGTTCCATGCATCTCTCGTTGACCTGGCTCGCAGACATGAGTTCCGTCGCTAGGCACAAACAACTTGCAACACATGTTTTTCCAACTCCAAGATGGAAGCTGTGGAAGAGATCGATGTGTAAAAGGCAGCCTGTTCTGAAACGTGTGCTGCAGCAACCCGATTGAGGGGAAGGGCTCCCCCAAAATGCATCCTCCCGAAAAATCGTGGGCCACCAAGCCGGAGTAGTAAGCTGGAAGTTCTCCCACCCCACTTGGTCCTGGCCTGCTTGGCACATGTGACATCTGCCGCGTGCGACTCCCTGCTCTGCACGCGGGCGCTTCTCGCAGTTGGCATAGCTTCTCGTAAGGTGACCAGCTTTGGCCAACCACTGCCAATCCCCCACACAATGCAAGGTGCACATTCTTTTTTTTGTGTTCCCTTCTTTGTCAGACACGCCAACCATCAGCATCTCCTCAATGTCGCTGGCGATCCGCTCCAAGATGCAGTCCAAAGCTTGTTGATCAACATCTTCGGGAGGCATGCTGTCAAAAATCGATGACAGAATGGCGACCCAGTGTAGTTGAGCTTCATATCATGGTACTTCTTTCTTCGGCATGCATTGGACTCGTTTGTACCGTGGCCAAGGTATCCGTTGTATGAGGCTATAAGAAACCCCTGTTTCTTGTAGCCTCTTCCCTCATCTCCGTGAATCATGAGAGGCGCAAGGCGGTTCAACTGAACCTTTCCAGTGTCAACCAGATTCCACAGACTGTGAGATGGCTTTGCCTGCCGATACCTTTGCCAGAACAAACTTAAAATGGCTTGCTCCCTCTCAGGATGCAGTTTATTTCTTCAATCCAGCGAGTATATGCCACAAGTGTGAGTCTACCAGCCATTGAGCCCAGGACTTCAAGGAAATCATGTAAATGTTTCCGGGATACAACGTCCCTGGTGGCTTCTCTACAAACGTCAGCTCAATTGGCAACGTCAACTCATATCGGTTGACAAGATTCTGCACATCACGCTCAGAGCTTCCTTCAAGGCACTTGGATAGGGCATTCAAGCCAGACCTTTCTGCCAAACTCTCGCCAAAGTCCTCGATCACACCTTTGGCAGAGGCGCAAACATGAAAATGCACAACTCTAAACAAAAGATAGAGAGCCGGAACTTGTGAGAGACAAGAAACGGAGTCAACTTAAAAAAGGAATGCGTCCCTGTTTGGGCCACTTGCATCAGGCCTTTATATAATTTGTAACGAAAACTGGCCTTTAGGATTATTTGGAAAGGTGCACTCTCCTATGAGCGCATTAGTCTGTAGCATGCGCACTGCACAAAGTGGAAAGAAGATACATACACACAGCACGGACCACACAAATGCTTTCTTGATTGCCCCTGCAGCCTTCAATGGTAGTGGAGGCAAACCTGTCAAAAGCCTTTGGTTTGAATATAGGCAACATCACAAGTGCCCTGCCAAGGGTAACCCACCCAATAGCAAGAACAACAGCACTGCCAAAACCTCAATTCACTGTACGTATGCAGAGGCATGTTTTAGAGTTTGATTAGGTTGGGAGGGTCGTCCATAGCCCATGGACAAGCAGCGCTGCTTCTCAGAGGCATGGTGTGGGAAGTTTTCTACCGTGCACATGGCAGCCTTCCAAAGATATAAGGTATTTAACATTTTGAGACCTGTAAACTGCTCAGCTGCATTCCTGTTCTTTCTGACGACACAATATCAGAGTTGTTCCTCAGACTTGGGGTCAAGATGAGGGCTCATATGGTTTGTTAGGAAGGGATTAAAAGGAAGCATCGTTTTTGCCGGCAGAGTGCGGCAACAGAGAAAGCACGTGGTCAATGCTGCTTGTTATGAATGACTTGGGTCAAAGGGTGTTGTCGGGCGGTCTCTTGAGGCCGCGGCTCCTTCGGCGATGCAAGCGACGAATCGCTGCAGAGTCTGTCCGGGACCTAGCGCGATACAAAGAGTGAACATCAGCGATCAGGAATCACCTCACGTGCAGTGTGCAGCAAATACACGGCAAAGCTCCATCACTCCGAGTCAGGCGGTTTATCATGCTTTTCTCAGCGCTCATTGTTGAGCATCGTGTTTCATCGCTATCAGCTATGACCCGCACAAGAACGTGTCGAGGTTCCAATCCATCAAAAGGACTGGCTTAAACACATTTTGCGCACAAATTTGCATTCTTCTACACTCACCAGCAGGGTCTATGGCCTGTAGGGGTGACGCCACGTACGGGCTTCCCGCATAGAAACCCCAAAAGGCAATCTACAAAGATTGCAAGATCTCTTGGCAGACTTACTTACGACTTTTCTTGTGTTCTTTCTTGCTTTCTTTCTCAGCTTTCTCATGCTTCTGTTTTTTTGTTTTTGGGCTTCTCAGCTTCCTGGTCATCCAGGGTGTCCTTGATCATGTGCTTCCTTGCGTTCCTGCCAGTAAGGTGGAAACAATAAATCAAGCAGAATGGGCTTGGCATTGAGTCAAAGAGTATACATAGATCAGACGGACCAGAGAGTCACGAAGCACAACTCGTTTCATGAGGCCATGACCGGATCTTCATCTCGGCCGCGCAGACCTTGGCACACCTCAGCCGGTGGGGGTTCTCAGCACAGTATGCGGAGCATTTTAGAAGTTGGGGCTTGCGCGCAATGGTGGCATCAGACATCGCCTTTGTGGCCTTTGCAACGAACCTGGGGCAAGAGGAAAACGCTTCGTGTATGGTCCCCTTTATTGCGAACTGGCATGTGTCACATATATCTAATATGGAAGGGCAATAGCCGTGTGGATGTGAGCTGTGCAATTTGCTGAGAAGTCTCACAGCCGTAGATTCATCATTTTGATAGTGCTGCTTTAAGTCTTTGATGAGAGATCTGATCTTCCCACATTTCTGAAGGAGAGATTCCAGGTAGCGGTTCAGTGTGATGCGGGTCTGCCAAAGGTTTAAAGGATCGAGATCTAGAATGGGAGATGTTTAGATCGGCATGGGATTACCAAATTTGACACTTGGCTCAGCCCCCTCCTTGAAGAAGGTAGCGCCCTCTTCACGTAGATGGTTCCTTATGTCCTCTTCACGTTCCCATTCTTTGGTCAAGCCTGAAATAGGAAGCTTGTCCTTTCTCCCATCAGACCCCAAGCTCTCAGCACTGCCAGCCATGAATGAAGAGCACGGTGCGTCAAGGTCACCCAAAGGGACCACTCAGAGCCAAAATCTTAGATATCTTGAAGAATTATAATGTGTGGGAAATGCCCTCGATTCAATCCAAATACGAGGAACCCTTCGACTGAGTGAATCTCTCACAGCAATGGCCCACATACCCCCTGCCGTGCAGGAGCACCGGGCCTTCACGGCACGCTTCGCATTGGAAGAAAGAGCTGCATCGGGAGCAGCAGATTGGCATGGCGTGGGATGCATCTAAGAATCTAATATATATGTTGATGCATTCTACATACATGCCTCTGAAATCTAAAAACGGCACGTCAAGACACCGATCCCGTTGAGCCTGCACGGCTCGTGCCGCTGTCCTGGCATGTCCTGGCCACCAAGTTCCTGAAAGACATAGGCAAGGAACCATGAATATAGTGGTTTTCTTGAAAACACGAGGTTTTTCCAAGAAACTCGATGTATTCCCAGGATTTGGCCAAAAGATCATGTTTCCATAAAGGATCTACAAATTTATAGGCTCTTCTTAACTCTCTAGGCAGTGGTGTTCATCCAAAATGTGACGGGTGAGTTGGGGTGATCCTTCACGGCAGTGAGCCATTTCGGGGCTTCGCAGCTCGCAGCTTGATGTCGCTGCTCGGGACCCTTCGCCCACTCATTTGTGCAATTGTGGTGCGCTTAGCCAGTCTTGGAGCATCCAAATGTTTTTGTACTTACTAGTTTACTAGTAACAAGGGCATCGCCTACTAGTAACAAGAAGCTACTAGGGGCTCCTGGCCTTACTACCAGGAGCAAGAAGCTACTAGTAACAAGGGCATCGCTACTAGCAACATGTCATTTTTTGTTTCGTTTTGGCCTCAGATCCTCGCGTCGTGAAACGACATTTGGTTCATTCGCACCAAACATGCTTTGGCGGAGGAAAGGTATGAACATATTGATTCAAAAAGGGACATGTTTACAGAACTTATTCAATTTTTAGTCAAAAACACCCTGCATCACAGAAAAACGACGACATGCCTTGCACTCAACGGTTTTAGCCGATTTTCAGCCGTGAACTTGGTACCTCTTGGTACCTGTCTCCCGTTTCGGCCTAGGCCGTTTCGGTGTGCTGCGGCGCAGCTCCCAAGAACCGGCAGGGGAAGTTTGAGGCTGAGACGTTGGAGGCTGAAGTCTCCCAGGATGGTCACATCGCGATGCACAACTCGTTGAAACCTTCCTTCAAGGCGGGGGGTTCCTTCCGCAGCGGGCGCCGGCTCCAGCGGGACGTTCATCTCGCGTTGGGGGCTAGATGGCAGACAGTGACAGTGGTTCAGTGCTTCAGGTGAAGCAAGTTGTTTCATGCGAAGCACCTGGGCGGTTTTTGCAAAGGTGTCGTTTTGGTTGGTTACATAACAGACCAATCACACACTCTCAGAACGAGTCTCCGTGCCCGGCCCCTTGTCGTCGTGGACTGGTGAGGATTTGTTCGATGGACAGATGAGTGGACTTACTGCTTTGATTAGTAGTAACAAGTGCCACGCTACTAGTAACAAGTGCCTTACTAGTAGTAACAAGTGCCTTTCTAGTAGTAACAAGAAGCTAGTAGAAACAAGATCTTCCCCTGTCGGCAACCGCTCCGTGGACTAGGCGTGGCACTTGTTACCCTGAACCATGTGGAGAGTTTAGCATCCCTCGCCCGATGCTGGGACCCTTTTTATGGCCCAGAATGGCCCATGCATGTACCATGCATGTTATTTCACTTCCTCATGGCTTGGAACCAGCTCTCGTAGCGGCGACTGGAGCGGAAGAGTTGTGAAGCAAACAAACGACTCTCGAGAGCCGTGTCGCTGCGAACTCTTTGGACCTGGTCCAGGGAGAACTCTTTGGATTTCTCCACGCCCAAACGTTTGAAGAACACGTTACTGGTAGTCATGCCCTTGTTATTAGCGATGCCCTGGTGACTAGTAGCTTTCAAGAGAACTCCATGCTGTTCGTTTCGATCTTTTTTCAGTGAGCTCCTTCACGCGGCTTCGTGGGTGCCTCCTGGGCACGAACGAACACTCGTGCCCAAACTGAACTGCAGCAGCTTCCTTCCTGCACTGACCTGTTGCTTTGGTGCTCCGGGCCGGAGGATCCAGACACCGAATTCATTGAGCTGGAGGAGGAGGAGGAGGAGGAGCAGGAGCAGGAGGAGGAGGAGGGGGAGGATGAGAAACATGATGAGGACGCCGAGCAGGCGAGCTTGGAGTTCGATCGTTTTGCGGTGGTTTTGAGTCATGGTGGAGCGTTTGCGGGCGTTTTTTTCTTTGCAGTCCAAGTCCGACAAACTGATTGGGTGTGCTTGTTGCTGTGCAAAGAGTCCGATATGATCTTCTGACTGACACATTTCTTTGGATTTCAGGTTTTGGTTCAGGCCTCTATGTCTTGGTCTTAACCTCGCTCTGGGCAGGAGTCAGCGGGATGTCGTCGGCGAGATTGTCGTCGGCGTTTTACTTGTCATAGGAGGAGCTGTCGCGATGGCGAGCGGATTCTGGGAGGGTGGAGGGTCCAGTGAAGTCAGTGAGAACTTCGAGAATGAGTTTGAAGTTTTCCTTGTTCTTTCCTTTTGGTGGTGTCAGCTCAGGTGCAGAGGTTGCTGGACAGGCTGACAGGCTTTTCCCCGCACAAAACCGGTGAAGCCACCACACCAGATCTGCCCACACCAGCAGCATGCGTTGCTGAAGCACAGCGCTGTTCTCTCTCTCTCTCTCTCTTGTAAAATTCAGCAGCTGTTTGTTTGTCGTTTGTTTGTGCACGTCTCTGTATTGTTTTCCTCTGGCAACAGTCCTTAGGCTCAAGGCCTCGATCCAAGGTGCATTGTACAGCACCATGCAATTGTACATGAACACTACGATAGAGCAAGTATGCTATTGTAGAAGAGCTTGTATCTTGACACCGTCCCTTGGTTTGATTCATTGTTGAATCACACCATCACTACAAACATTGTTGAAACTGTAAAGAAACATTATTGTACATAGCAGTTCAAACATTGTCAGCAAATCTGTACATCTTCCTGCCATTGTGTCTCCAGCATTGTTGCCCTCTTCATCGTTGTGCTCGTATGGCATTGTCATGTCTGGAGGTCCACAGCTTGTTGATCCATTGTCTCAGGTCTCCATCTCGTCCGCCTGATTGTCTGGAGCTTCCGAGGATCGTCTGGGACGTTTTGTCCCCTTTTCTTCCTCTTCATCCTCAGATTTCTCCTGGACAATTGTGCGGTCGCGCTCCTTGATGTAGGAGCTATGCTCTGGGTGGCCTCGCTGGTGCCTCCTGGGGATTGTCACATGGTATGTGTCAATCTTCTTGTCAGCCTTGTATACTCCAAGAGCCAATTCAATACATCTGGCGGGAGTTGTGACTGGCCAAATTGTCCAAGGTGTGCCAGAGCCATCCCGAAGATTGTGTGGTGAGGAGAATCCTCAGAGATGGTCAGCATTGATCGGACATGCATTGTGTGGCCATAGTTCCAGATCCAGCCATTTTCCCAATTGTACTTGTCAAACTTGTTGGCTGCATTGTAGTTCAGGTGGATCGCTCGCAGATGGTTCTTTTCTGCTTCTGTCATTCGATAGTTGTGGGGAGCATGAACTTGTAGCACCTGAACGCTGTATCCTCGCTGGAACGACGACAGCTTCTTTTGTGTCATGTGATGGACCATGTTGTGCCCATCAAAGGCTATTGCCAAAACGATTGTTTCCTCGCTCGTCATTGTGTGCCCCATCGATTGATGGTATGCGAGCCACTGGATTGCTTCCTCGGTTGTGGGAACCATAATGAAATGTTCCCAAATCCCAGGTTTGCGTAGTTTGCCTGGCAGCATGTCGATCTCATTGTTCTCGTTCAACATGATGGCATATTCTGCCATTGTGACAGCCGCAAACCAGTAAGTTGTCCCATTGTCAAGGACCTCGCTCCACGCGCTGTCCTTGTAGTTCGCCGGCTGGAGAACCTGACTTTCAATCCTGTCTTCATTGTAAATTGTTGCCCTGTCTTCCCACAGTGAGATCGTGGAGTTTGTGGGCAACCTGCTCTGATTGTGGTAGTCTGGGGTTGTCATCTTGACAGCCATTGACGCCCTTGAAATTGCTCACCAGGAAGTCGAACCGAATTGTCGGAGCTTGTGAGCTCGAGAAGCGGCTGCGGTCAAGAAGTTGTCGACAAATTGTCAACTGAACATGCATTGTCTTCCAAATTCTAAAAAGCAAAACTTCAAACGCATTGTCCATCGAATTGTACTCCGAAACGACGAAAAGAAAGCCGGGCTCATTGTGAGACTCAAGATCTTGTAGTACATATTGTCTATGACATAGTATGCGCGTAGTAGCTAAAGTCTAAAGTAGTGTGCCATGGCTCGATGCCCCGTGTGTGTATTGTACACGCATTGGTGCTGCCATGGTTGTGAAACTGTTTGTACGGCCGTTGTTCAGTTGTGGTGTTGTGGGCATTGAATGCCCGCCATGTAGAGGTGTTTGTTAAGCACCTCTGCCGAGACATACTTTGTTAGTATGTCTGCTGGGTTGTCGTGTGTGTTTATCTTGTGTATTCACAGTACCCCGCTTTGTACCAGTTGTTGTATGAAGAGGTACTTCAGGTCAATGTGCTTTGCTTTCTTTGACGAGGCAATTCTCGCTGCAATGCTTTTGCCGCTTGTGCTGTCTGTGTGTGTGTGCGTATGTTCACCTTTGTTGTTGTGGCTTCCTTGATGAAGTTTGCTATATGTAGTCCTTCTTGTGCTCCTGTGCCAATTGCATATAGCTCTGACTCTGCTGATGATAATGCTACTACTGAGTTACTACTGCTTGTGTTCTGCTTCCAAATTGTACCACGGATCCCATCATTGTCACGATGAATCCACTTGTTGATTTTCTTGTGCTTGGGCATCCTGCCCAGTCTGCGTCGACGTAAATGTTGAGGTCGACGGGTTCTTTTGTTTGTGGCGTGTGTGTTGTCCTCAGGATCATCTTGTAGTGTTGTGTTCCCCTGAGGTATCGTAACAGGTGTTTCACCTTGCGTAGGCTTTGTTGTGTTGGTTGTTGTAGGTCTCGTGCCAGTTCTTTTGTTGCAAAGCTGATGTCTGGTCTTGTGTAGGTCAGCCATTGAAGCTTTCCTACTGCTCTCCTGTAATCTGCATGTTCTTGTGCATCTAGAGGTGCATCATCGTTTGTGGATTGTTTCAGGGTTGCCGTCCCTGGAGCTGATGCTGGATTGCTTGCTTCCATTTTTGTTTCCTTCAGCAATGTGGTGACGTATTCAGGTTTGAGGCTCACTTCAAAATAGTCTCCATTGTTGTGGATGTCTCTGCCAAGGAATTGGATTGTCTGACCAATTCCCAATGTGCCGGTTGGTCGTAGTAGTACATGCTTTTGTACTTCTTTGAAAGTCTTGTCGACTTCTTGTTGTTGTCCCAGGAATAGTAGGTCATCCACATAGACCATCACAAACATTGTCTGTTCATTGTTTCTGTACGCGTTGGGTTCGCTTGTCAGTCGAGATAGTCCCATTTGTTGAAGGACTTGTGCAAAGTGATCCTGCCAGGATTTTGGACTTGATCGTAGTCCATAGATTGCTTTGTTGAGCTTCCACACTGTGGTTGTGTTGTGACCACTTGGGTATAGTTCTGGTGGTGGCCACGTGTAAAGATTGTCTGTTGCTGCTGGCGCATGTAGGAATGCTGTTGACACATCTCCTGCTTGTATTGTCCAGTGGTTGTGCTGCGCCATTGTCAGTAGGATACGTAAGATCCCAAAGATTGGTGTGCTGGCATAGATGTTGTCAAGGTCTTGGATTGTTTCCAAGTCGCCTTTTGCTACTATGCGACATCGCGCTTCATCTTGTTTGGGTTTGCTAACCCACTTGGATTCTACGATCCTGTTCTTGTGTTCTTCAGGAACATCATTGTAGTTCATCTCTGTGAACACTCCTTGCTTCTTTTTTCATTCCTTGTTGTACTTTCAATGGATCAAGACCTTCATTGTCGTAGACGAAGGGTTCTTGTAGCATCCTTTCCACTTCTGCTTCTTGTTCATCTTCACAGGATGCTGTGGTGATCTTGTCACCTTTCTTTGTGATGATTATCACTGCTTGTATTCTCATCTTTGCTTTTAGTTGTTCTTCATCTTGTCCTTGGTTTGCTGCCGTTGAGGACTGTGCTGTCCTTGATTGTTTGGATTGTGCGTCACCTGTAGGCTCCTCGTGTTGTCGCTTGCTTGCTGGTGGTGTTGGCAGTGGTGGTCTTGCCACTGTTGTTGGTGAAGTTGCCAATGGTGATGTTGCCATTGTCGTATCCCTGATGCATTGCTCGTGCTGGTAGTGCCAGTGGTGTCTCTAGTACTGTCTGTGTGCTTGTATCTTCGACTGTAATGTCAGCTTGTGTGTTGTCAGCCGGTAGAAGCAATTGTGGTGGAATTGCCATTGGTGTTGTTGGCAATGTGGCAAGTTCCATGGATACACGTTGATAGTATCCAATAGTTGTTTGTCGTACTTGTCTGGCACGATCTGTCTTCGTATTGTTCTTGCTCTGATGACCTTGCCAGGGATGCCAACTATTGACTCTCCAGTCATTGTGTTTCTGCCAAGCCAGATTCCTTTGAAGAATCTTGGCTCCATCTTGGGTTGCGCTTTTGTTGTTGGTATCATGTATTGTACTGTTTCTGCCATCTCGCATAGTGGTGCTTTGTGGTCCTTCTGCCATCGTCTTCGGTAACTTGTTTTTCCGTCGTTGTGCATGGCATACCTGTTCAGTAGCCAGGCCGCATGCCGTACGATCCACGGCATGATCGGATGTTGTACGCTCAATGTAAGGTTGTAGCTTGTGGTCACTTTGTTGTACCAGTGCGCGGACTTGTCCCATCAAAGTGCGATGGAATCGTTCAATGCGTCCTTGTGATTGTGATGAGTATGCCGGTGATTGTCGGATGTTGACGTTGTTTCCGAGCTTCTGTACGACGGCCTTCAGTAAGTTCTGTATGTATTCTTCTTGGTCTGATTGTAGTGTCGTGGTAGATAGTGTTGCTTGTGCTCGTCCACATTCAAACATGAATGTTTGTAGACATCGTATCAGGTATTGTTGTTGTTGGTTCTTGTCTTGTACAAGAACGGCCATTGCCATACCTGATTCGACATCTATTGCCGTCAGTACTGGTAGTACTTGTTTGTCTCCAAATGCTTTCATGTATGTGAAGTCCACTTGTATCACTGGTTGTTGCTTGCTTGTTTTGGGTGATTGTCTGTTCTTCCTTTGCTCTTGACACATATTGGGCACCATGAGCGGTGTGGTAAATGTGTCAGCTCATGTTCTAGCCTTTCTTGTCTTGTTGGCTGTTGTGGCGCCTTTATCCCTTTCGCGCGTTGTGCTTGTTGAGATTCATCTTCATTGTCCGCGTCGTACTCGTACTTGTACGTCGCTTCTTCCTCGAAGTTTGTTGATCCTGTCCATTGTCTGTCAAGCTGTCTTGCTCCTGATTCGTGCCAATTGTCATGGATTGTGTATCCTCTTCCTTGTTCCGTTCTGGTCACGAATGTTGTCCGTGTAGGTTTGAGTCGTCCAATGTCTGGACCATCGTCTGTCTTTTGTGGCGCGTACATTGTCGTCCGTACTTGTACGTGAACTCGTTTCCAATAGTCTGTTGTTGGTGTCATTGTGGATGGATCAGGTACTGCCGTGGTTGTTGGCGCTGGCTTCTTCGTTGTGTGTCTGTATAGTGGCTCTCTGCTTGCCTGTTGCGTTGTCTCGTCTCTTTCCGGGAGTCGCAGTGTTGTGGATTGGTGTCGCGCCTGTATTGCTTGTGGTGCTATCTCTGTCTGCTCTGTTGCCTTCGCTGTTGTGGGTGCCGGTTGTGATGGCGGCTTGTTCACTCTGAACCATGTTTCTCCTGTCCATGTGTCTCCTTGTATCACTCGTTGTTGTTCATGTTTGCTCATGTCATGGTATTGTTCAACAATGTCTTCGTTGTTCCCGTCTGTTCGACGAATGATTGTTCGTCTGTAGTTGCTCAATGTCTCCAGTGGTACTGGGCAAATTGTCGCCAGGAACACAGAGAACTTTCCTCTTGTTCCGATGATACCGTACAAGGTATCCTTCCTTCATTGTTGTAGTTCCAGTAGTCGCTGTTGCCTCCAAGGGCTTGTTGTGGTCCATGCTTTTGTCAGTGTTGTTGGGGCAATCATTGCAATCATGCCCTTTTGTGTATGTCTCAGCTGTAGTTGTTGATGTTGTGTCAGGTTCCTGATTGTTGCTGGCAAGTAGTAGAGGTTGCGCTGCTGCACCAAGGGAACATTGAATCCCTTATCATGGCGCATTGTTGGAGTGTCGTTGAACCTGATGTCAAAGCCTTGTTCTGCCAGTCTTGTCACTGACTGGGTTGGGTCATGGATGTCACTCACACACGTAGAAGGGTATGACAATTGGTTGTCCTCTTGATTGCATGTAGACCCATCTTACTCCATAGCATTGTATTGTCTTGTTCGTCACTGTCCTGAGGTTTGGGCTTTGTGCTTGGTCAATCTTGTACACTGGATAGTTGTCTGCAAACCATAGTGGGCAGACATGTGTGGCTGCTTCACTGTCGATCATGATGTGTATAGTCTCTGTTGTGCTGCTGCTTGTGGTGCCTGTATTGTGGTCATTGCCATTGCTGATCATGGCGACGACATGGATTGGTGTCATATCGTGGTTGCCAGCGGATGGAATTGGTGGGAGTGCCAATGGTTGTTGTCCTTGTTGTTGTCGTGTGTAGTCCTGAAAGTGCCATCCATTGTCATAGTAGTCATCGTACCATTGTGCTGTCGTGTCCTCAACGTCATTGCTTTGTCCTTGTCCAATGTTGTGTATTGCCACTCGGCAGTCTTTGGCATAGTGTCCTGTTCTTCCACATCTGTAGCATGTATCTGTTGCTTGCTTTCCTTTGTTCTTTCCTTTTCCTTTGTTGTATCCTTTGCTGAATCCTTTGCCTCCTTTGTTTCCTCTTCCGAATGGATTGCCGAAGCCAATCGAACTACGTTGTAGCTATTGAATCCTTTTCCTCCATACTTTCCTTTTCCTTTGCGGTTGATGTTGTAGCTGTTGTAGCCGTAGCCGTTGTATCCTCCGTAGCCTTTGCCTTTGTTCTTTCCTCTTCCTTTTCCTTTTCCTTTGTAACTGTTGTACTTTCCTTTTCCTTTATGGATTGCATCAATGTCCATAGGTGCTTGTCCTCCACCAAAGCTTGTCGCTACACTGGATGATTGTGATCGTAGTTGTTGTAGTTTGCTGAATGCTGTTGTTGATCTGTAGTACGCGATGATTGTTTGTTTGACTCGTGCATAGTTTGGGCTTTGTCCTGAAAGCAGTTGTAGGTGTTGTTGTAGCGGTCCACTTGTCTCGTTGAGCAATACGGCAATCTTCACGGAGTCTGGGAGTGTTTGTCCATTGTCTCGCTCGAATGATTGTAGCTCAAATTCCCATGTGGAAAATGATTCTTCGAAGTTGTTCTTGTCAAATGTTGGTTTCAACAATCTTGTCAAGTGTCCTATGGATCTTGTCCCCACTGGGATGGAGAAGCGGATGCACAATTGTCGGTACATCTCGAAGCCAATTGTGTGTTGGTATTGTCTGCAGACTGTAGCTGCTGCTCCTGTTGTTGTGTTGATGAGGATGTACCTGAAACCAGTGCTGAGGCGAACATGTCGTTCACCGTCTTCGATTGTTGATGCCGCTGCTCGTAGTTGTAGCTCTGTGAGTTCTGCTGTGCCTAGTTCTGCTGCTTGTAGTAGTTCTGTGTAATCCTTGTCTTGCAATCCCATGTATGCTGTGAACTTGTATTTCCATTCTTCGAACGTGCGAGGCCGGCTACTATGAAGATGATGAACAGGTAGCCTGAACACATGGCTGAGGAGTTCGACGCAGCGTGCCAGACCCAATGAGTTGAAGATGGCTCGAGGTTTTCTACCAGTTGTGGCCTTGGCGGACAACCAGCAACCTGTCATGGCCGGTGCATCTTCATCCACATCGAGCCCAACGTCTTGGCAGAGGAAAGGAAAAGGGAAAGGCGCCAAGTCAAAAGGGAAGGCATCGACAACAGTGCGCTATCCACCGCAAGGCGCAGGAAAGAGTGATCCGAAGGGCCGTGCAAAGGCCAACGTGACATGCCTCCGATGTGGACAACAAGGCCACTGGGCTGCCAACTGTCCACAGAGCTCGACTTCTAAGGGCTCGAGCCTGAAACGTCCTGCGCCGACTGAAGGCATGGCTCAACTCCATGAAGAGGAGTGCGGCGCGCTCATCTTTGAGGATCACAACGGCCACCAGAGGCCGGACTGTGTCATGCTCGACCCTGGAGCCAGCGCATTCTTGGCAGGTTATGGTCCTTTTCGACGCTTCCTGCAACAATTGACAGATGATTGCCACTTCCCGATTGAGAAGATCAAGATGACTCGTGGCAGACGCCGCTTCCAGTTTGGTGGAGATGCAGCGTCCTGGTCGACCTGGAGCGCCCACTTGCCCATCTTCTTGGATGGACGCTATGACGCTATGGGACCGATCAGCTGTTCCTGCTACCTGGACACACTCCAATGCTGTGCGGCCGACCCATCATAAAGGCAATGGGCATGACCATGGACTTTGCCACGCGCTACGACCCGGATCGCCCTGCGTTTTGTCTCAAGACCGCGGAAGCTGATCTGGATCAGGAAGAAGACATTCCCCTTGCTGAGTTTGAGAAGGAGGAGAGTTGTTTTTGTCTCAGCGCTTCCGAGGAGCTCATTGACCGCATCAACACAAAAGCTCTCCGTCGCCATGACAAGACCATGGACGTCCACTTGAACACACACCTCAATGAGCTGTCTGCCTATGTCACCAAACAGCTACACCCTCAAGAATCTCGACGGAAGCTCTGGGAAGTCTATTGTGGAGCCTCACGCACTTCACAGGTGGCGGAAACTCTTGGAATGGAGGTGCGGAGATTCTCCTATGGGACCGGTTGGGACTTCAAAAACTTGGCCCAACAAGAAGCCTCATGCCCAGTGCGAAAGCCCCATATGGCTTCAAAGACCGGAACCTGCTGGCATGATCAGGCTGCCAATCGGTAGACCAGATCTCGGATCGCAATCACTTGATCCTGCGCCGCTGTTCGTTTACTTTGGCAACCAGGTACTAGGAGGAAGTTTGCGGCAAGACTTGACCGCTTGGCATGACGCCTTTGAGACCCTCCAGCACTGACACCACCGCCGGTGTCGATTGCACGCTGCGCAATAGGTTCTTGACCTGTCAGGTCCCGTTCACTCAGGATTCCCATCCGCAGGGTGGGCTTATGCAGCTGAAAAGCGCGCGCGGGCGCGGACACTCCGGTGTCCACTCAATTCGCTTCGTGTGGTTCGTACTCGTACTTCTCCACACTACAACACGGTGTTCTTCGGCAACATCCGCTGTTTCCACACAACCAAATTCTCTCGCATTGCCGCCACTGCACCTTGAATTGTGACTGCTCCTGCCACGCTGGCTCTAACAGCTGCTCGTGGGCCAGCAAAGCTGCGAATGTTCACCTGCTTGTTGAGACACCAAAAGCGTTCAAGTTACGGAGCCTGGTATGGTTTGGTGGTCCACTGCAGGCTGCAGGTATCACGACGCACAAGGGGCACAGGTATACTAAGTCCTGAGGTGCCATGTGACAAGTTGAGACTTAATTGGAGCTTGGATGATTTTTGCACTCCAATTAAGTCTCCGATTGAGGTTTAGGCTCTTTTGAGTCCGGTTCGAGGAGAGTGAATTGCGTTTGGGCGACATGGAAACCTTGGACTCAGCAAGAGGCCAAGTTGGTGACTGCTTTGAAGATGAGCAAACTGCGCCGAAGCGACTGTACGAAGACTTGACTTGGCATTTTTCATGTTCTTGAGTGTCCACATGGACCCCAGAAAATCCTGATCAGTTGGAGCTTGAAAACGACTGAGGTGTAGCAAGGCTTGTGCCACGGGCAAGACAACCAGAGTCCGCCCATTTGCCAGAGCGGCCGCCCACGAGGGCTGCGCCTGCACTGGGCCCAGCAAGGCCACTGGGCAACGCGAGGTGATGCCAGCTGCTTCATTGTGTGAAGACAAGGTGATGCAGCCAGAAAAGAACCAAGAAACATGAACACTACGACATGTAACCAGCTATGGGTCTTGCCATATGTGGCCATTGTCCACGTGTGAAATTTTTACCCTTGTTTTGGGGTCCTTTGCGATGATTCTCTTTCCAGGAGGAGAAAACTTGCAATACTCATGCTTGTCCCATCAACTGCGCGTGGGGCAAATGGAACGCCTGGCAAAAGCTCCTCGGACCACGGTGACGGTGATGGTGGTGACGGTGACGGCGGTGACGCGATTGGATCTGAGGGCGGACGGTGCGAACGGTCGTTGCATCCGGATGCGCGGGGAGACATTGGACACATTGTCGTCACAAAGAGATCCACGTTAGAATTCGCATGGTCACTCTGGGACCTGGAGTGTTTTTGTATTAGAACATTTTCTTTCTAGACCGTTCGGCGTATATGTCGATGGTCGGTAGAACCTCTACCGTCTCACTCTTCCCTCGCCACCCCAAAACAGCCCAGACATCCTTTCCGCACCGGGGACGCCTTGCGCACCGGCCCCGAGGTGCTCCAAGCCCTGCGGCGGTGGGGAGCAGAAGCGGAACCGGCCCGTGGCCAAAGCGGCTGCCCACGGCGGAAAGAAGTGCGACGGCGCAGCAGAGGAGGGGGATATATAAGACACGAATGATGACAAGGGTTCGGAACAGTGGTGCAAGGGGGGCTGTGATGATGATGATGATGATGATGATGATCATGGCGGCGTGAGGCTGTGGGCAGTTTGGAACATGTTTGGGCTCTAGCAAAGAAGTGCGCTGCGGAAGTATGGTGAATTTGTTTCTTTACTCCGCGGGAGTGAACGTTGATGACATTTGGAATGCTTTACTGTTTGAAGAGTGAGTGTTTGACGTAGATCAGGGATGCTCAGTGGGTTGACCACGGCTCTTTTCGCCAAGAATTGCAACACCCAAACCAAACGAACGCTAGAAGTGGCTTGAAGTGGCTTGGCATTTGAAGGAGAAGAAAAAGTGCAACGAACACAAGTGCCCCATTGATTGCGTGTACGGCGAGTGGGGCGAGTGGGCTGACTGCAGCGTCACTTGTGGCACCTTGGATGATGCCTTTCACCATCGCAGTGGAGATCAGACAACACACTGCGATCTGCTAGAAAACACGCAGTGGAGATCAAGACATTGTGATTCTCCCCAGAGTCTTTGTTTTTCTCCGGTTGATGGATTTACACCGCTTACACCGCCGTTTTTTGACACAGAGATGTGACCGAGGCAATGGGACCCGTAAGCACACCAGAGAGGTGGAGACGGAAGCGCAACATGGAGGCGCCACCTTTCGACGCCCAACTGGCCCTTCCACCCTTGACTTGTTTCGGGCCGTTTTGCAATTTAGAGGTTTTTCGAGAAAAGGTATCTTCTTTTTTTGATGTGTCATCGGTTTTTCTGGCAGGTAAAGAGTGCGAGGGAGAAGCTGAAGAAGAAGGGCCATGTGTCTTAGCGAAATGCATCGGGGCCATGCGTACTTTCGGACTGACTTGTCAAGACTGTGCCGCATGGTGCTATGCTCCATCGGACGTGGAAGATGGCCAGCTTGAACATGCTGTTCATGTAACTTCCGAGATATGACTTGGGGGCGATCGGCTGAGTACAGGCTTGTTTGGCCCAGTACTCGTAGCAAGGGGACGCTACTAGGTGGAGGTCATCGCTAGTAGGTTGGAGGCCATCACTACGAGTAAGAAGAAGCTGCGAGGGTGGCCCTGAGCTTGAGATGCAGTGGTCGACACACGGTTTCCGACCTAGTTGGGTGCAGATCTCCGACCTCCAACCGAAGAAAGACGCGGTCTCCGATGTGGTTTCTTCGTGCTCCAACTGGATCGTACGTCCCATGTTGCGCCATGTGTTTCCACTAGTTTCCACACACGTTTGGACCCCCCTGGCACGCCGTCCGCGCGCCGTCCGCGCGGCCGCCACTGTCGCGGCCACCACTCCTCGGTCCTCTGCGCCAGGTGATCCGGTGCCTGAGAAGTGCGGGGCACTCGGGTCGCAGGTGGGACCCACGCGGGACGTGTTGGTTGGGGGCAGAACACGGTATGAAACATGCACATGGACCACCTCACGCGGGGGCTCTGAATCAAGAATCACATGGTTCCCGACATTTGCTGACCGAAGCTCTTGAAAAGCCCTTCCGTTCGGCGGCAGGCCTTCAGCGTTTTGCTCTTGGCAGCCATTGCAATATATTTCTGAAGGCCCGCGTTTCTAGTGTTCCTAGAAAGAGAGAGCTTCGTTGAACTGGAGTTTGCAAAGCCTTCGGAGCACGGAGCAGAAACAAACATTTCCTGGGACATGGTCGGACAGGGTGTCAAGATGACTGGGTTTTGTCTCAGCACATCTAGGGAGTTAGAGAACAAACAGGAAAAGTAACATACAAGGTGTACAAGCTGCCTGGTAAGCTTGTCGGCACCTAAGTCTGAATCCGGATGGAACACCTGAGATTCGTTCCATGGCAGAAGGCTTGCAAGCTCATGAGACCCAAACACGTCTCGTCTGTCTACCTCAGTTGCATGCAGCCATCCAAGAAGAACTGGAAGCACGACCAATGGAAACTGATGGACACTGGCTATTGGCCTGCCAAGTCTGTGTGTTTTTGTGCTGCATGCATCTTTTCCGCTGGGGATGGCAGTGGCGGCTCCGATTTCAATTGGAATGAGGTGTTCGAGATAATGTCTTATCGACGTCGGAAGGTTGGGCTTTGCTTCAGTGGGGTGGGCTGCTTGTTTCCCATGGCCGGCCTCCTTCATCCCCCTTCCTCCCCTGTCGTTGACATGAAAAACACGGACTTAGCTGAAAAGCAACAGCTGAGGTATGACGGCAGATCTCATGACTCACGACCTGCATGTGGTGTGTTTAGCTTTACAAACGCCAACCTTTCGACAGTCCCCGCGGACGCTGTGGCCCCGAAGAGATCACCTGACCATGCCTGGCGATTGCACTGACGATGCCTGGCCGCGGTTCCAAAATTCCAAGGCCTAAGCTTGGAAGGTTTTGTTTGAAAAAGGCCGTGCAGTGGATGGCTGTCCTCGAATTTAGCATTCTTTGCACATCCTTCCACAGGATGAAAGACGCTTTGTAGTTCACGCAGAGAAGTGCTCCGTTCTTTGATCCGTTTTGTTATGCTTTGAGAGGGATTTCATGCTGTACTCGCAGGATTGCAAATAGATCATTGAGACGACTAGACAATGGTGAGTTGGAAGGACGGTGCTTGCATCTGGCAACTTTCGAGAATGGAAGACAGTCAGCTAGAAGGCCCTGGAGGCTGCTGTAAGAGCACGGGTATGAAGAGCTGTTTGCTGTGCTCAAACTCAAGAAATGGAGTAGCAGAGATGGTAACATACCCACATACATATTATTACACATTTACTGCTGTGATATATGTTTAACGTTTTTCGTGCAGACCTTGTGCAGACCCTCCGGCTTTAAAAACTCTTGAGAAACATATCTTCTGCAGAACATTAGTCTCCAACAGGGAGCTGGCAGGGACCAAAAACACCCTTTGAGTTGCGACGACCAGGATGCCACTGATGCCTAGCATATTGGACCGTACATTGTAAAAAATGCATATCTCTTACATGCCGTGATTTCTGCCATGGGGGGACAACTGAGCGTTCAAAACTGCTGCGCCCCTCGGCCCAACTGCTGCGTCTCCATGACGCGCCGCGCGCCTCCGCCGGGGGGGGTCCGGCCGACACGTCGCCGCCCCGGGTGAAGCGTCTGTGGTGGTCGAATTGATTGCGAAACGTTGGATTCACACGGTTTTTGTTGCGAAGGGTCAGCTGAAAGACGACTTGGCCTGCGAAACTGGAGCAGACCCTGGAACCAGACCTTTGCACACCTTTTGCTACGTGCTCCTGGCTGTGATATGACTTCTTGTGCTTCTTCTAATTGGTGACTGCAGATTTAGGCTTGGGGGTGGAAAAAGAACAGGGGGGAACCTTTTAGGAGCACATGAGAATGGAATGTACCTGATGTGATTGCCAGACAAGTTCTGACACACTGAAAGAACGGTCGCAATGGCAAGACCCCGAAAGCACCAAGATGCTTCCATCGAGTCTGGAGGAAGCTCTGAAACACTACAGCATACTACAACCACTCTCACAAAATACAATGTGGCTGTGGGTCTAAACCAAACAGGCACCAAGCAGGACCCTTTGGTTGGTGAGAATTACTTGGACTCAGACTCACTGATCTTGGCTTGGAAGTCTTTGCTTTGGACCCCACGCGGGGCCCACCCGTTTGAGCCGGGGGGCGAGGTGTTTCGGGCCCCTGAAACGGGGCATAAGGCTCCAGATCGGGAGACCTTCTACCAGAGCTTCGCATTCCTCTGGACCTTTGTTCTACGGTTGCAAATGATGCTTGTTTGAGTTTCGGCTAGAAGCTTTGGTGGTCAAGTGACAGGGAATTCTGGTACCCGATGGCCAGTGGTGTGACGTTTTAAACACATGGTTCGTTTTTATCCGTTGGGCTTGGATGGTGGCACCGGGTTGCCACGTGCGTTTGCCGGTGCCAAAACACTGGGTCTTCCAGACGGTGGCACCGTGGATGTTCCGAGTTTGACCGCGGCACCTGTTCCCAGTAGCGTGGCACTTGTTACTAGTAGCTTCTTGTTACTACTAGCTTCTTCTTACTACTAGTAAGGCACCTGTTACTACTAGTAAGGCACCTGTTACT